GTGCCAGGAGATGGACTTTATAACACAGAAAAGTGAACATCTAATAACATCAAGTAGAGAAAGCAATAATTTGGGGCAAGAGAACCTGTCCAGATTCTCAGAAATTTCCCCACCTATGTGACTCTGGAAGAGTAGGCCTCGATTGCTTAGTCCCAAACTGAGCAAGCAGGAGGCGCAGAGGGACCATAGACACTATCTGTTCCACCTGCTTTCTTTGTTTCTACAAGCAAGTGGAGCCCAGGGGTTGCTGTTTCCCAAGGTACAGCTGATTAGCTGCAGAGCACGGTTTAGAAGTGGTTCTCCATGCTCCCTGTCCAGTGCTCTTTCTAAATGTCTGCTACTCTTTTTTTTAAATCTCATTCCCACCAACACACTGCCTATTATGTTATTTTAAAAACGGACTTTACTTTTTAGAGCAGTTTTAGGTGAACAGAAAAATTGAACTTAACTAGATCTTTGATGAATCATGTCTTTGGTGTGACATCAAAAAGTCATGATCAAACCCAAGATCATCCAGATTTTCTCCTATTAACCTTATTTTCTAGGAATTTTATAGTTTTATAGTTTTGCATTTTACATTTAGGTCTATGATCCATTTTTGGTTATTTTTTTTTTGCATTTTATTTGAAGGATGGGCCACTAATGTGAATGGTATTTTGTTTTTAATTTCAAATTCCATGTGTCCATTGCTGGCTCAGGTCAAAGCAACTGATTTTTGTATATTAACTTTGTATCCTACAATCTTGCTATAGTTGCTCATTAATTCCAGAAGTTTCTTTGTTAGTTCTTCTGGATTTTCTACCTGGACAATCAAGTCACCTGCAAGCAACAAGTTTTATTTCTTCCTTTCCAATCTGTATACATTTCATTTCATTTTTTGTCTTAATGCCTTAGCTGGGACTTCCAGTACAATGTTAAAGAAGCAGTGAGCGGGGTCATCCGTGCTTCCTTCCTAATCTTAGTGGGACATCTTCTAGTTTGTCGCCATTAAATATGATGTTTGCCATAGGTTTTTATCAAGTTTTTTTTTATGTTCTTTATCAAGTTGAGGAAGTTCGCCTTCTATTTATATTTTTCTAAGAGTTTTTTTAAATCATAAATGTGTGTTAGATTTTTGCAAATGCTTTTTCTGCACCTATTATGATCATTTGATTTTTCTCTTTAGCCTATTGAGACAATGGATTACATGAATTGATTTTTCAAGTGTTGAACCAGCCTTGCATGTGTGGAATAAACCCCACTTGGTCAGAGTATATAATTCTTTTTATGCATTATTAGATTTGATTTGCTAGACTGTTTTTAGACTGACTACCAGGCTCTCCCAGGCATCTATTTTCTCTTCCTCCAACCCCAGATTAATAATCCTGGTGCCAGATATTCCTCTAAAAGCCCTGTGCTGCCAATCTGCAGGAATGTGGAAGCCCATCAGCTCCGGAGTTAAGCCTGATTTTGAATCCTGCTCTGCTGCTTCTCAACTACATAAACCCAAGCCAGCCGTTCACCCTCCTGAGCACATGCAGTCACTTATTTATCATGTAAACACTAAGGCCATCCAGAAATGGCATTTAAAAGCAGCTTTTCAATTTTTCATTAGATCAATAACTTGCTTTATTTCTGTTGAGCTTATTAAATGCACTATGTGAAGGTACTTCTTTTTTTCTCTCGTTTTTGCTATCCTGAGATTGCATTTCCCAATAAAGCATCATCAATCAAGCCTTGCCATGCATTCTGTGTTCTAGAAAACTTGAACCATGGTGGTCATTTAAAATAGCATTATTATTAAGGACATCGTTACAGCATTTCTTCTTTTCATTCATTTCCTGTTTGAAGTTGTTGGCTACTCATCAAGGCTATCCTAAGGGAATGATTTTATTTAGGTGAAATCAGGTTTAAAAATGACACCAAATACAGCTGAGAGGAAGAACATGCATCCCAAAAGGGCAATGTGATGATTAAAGGTTTGTTTGTAAGGATAGAATAGCTGCCCCTTCTGTCCCAGGAATGCCCCTGCTTTCTTTAGCAACTATCTGATTGGTGTTAATACTCTCAGCTGAGGGCCCATTAAAAGCCTCCTTTAAGGACTGTCTAGTCCAGTGGTCGGCAAACTACGGCTCGCGAGCCACATGCAGCTCTTTGGCCCCTTGAGTGTGGCTCTTCCACAAAATATCACGTGCGGGCGCGCATGTACAGTGCGATTGAAACTTCGTGGCCCATGTGCAGAAGTTGGTATTTTGTGGAAGAGCCACACTCAAGGGGCCAAAGAGTCGCATGTGGCTCGCGAGCCGCAGTTTGCCGACCACTGGCTCTAGTCCCATGGTCGCTTGAGGTGGGTGCCTGGTCATAAATATACACTCACAAGCACACACTCTCACACGTACACACCATGCATAGCTTACAGCAGTCTCTCTATTTCACATTTCCCTAAGTCTAAGCCCACGGTTCCTTGATTTTCCTCTTTACAGAACTTTTCATAAAAGAAAGACCTCTTTGTCACAAAAATATAGGAATTACATAATCTCAGAGTAAATGGCCTTCATTTCAAGTAAATAAATTGAGCCCTAAGAAAAAGTCCCTACGCGACCCTTATTTTTCACCTTTTACCTCATACCCGTGAACTTTTGTCACAGACCTGGGTTTGGAAACCACTGGCAGAGGGACAGCTCAGTTAATGAGCTAAGGAGAGAACTGGGAAAGGCTGACTCACCCACAAGGTGAGCAATGTTCCAGGGTAGACAAACACCAGGAAATACTCAATTCAGAAGAGGACAGTTTAGGACCAACCTCAATATTTTAAGTGGTTAAGACCACGGTGAATTTACTAGACGCTGTGCAGTCAAGCAGAGAGCAGAGTACTGGTCAAGGCACCCAGGCCTCCTCCCTTTCCTCTCGCAGAGGTCATCCTTAACAACCAAAATGGAAGACTCAATTTTTAAATTATGTTTATGATTAGTATTTCAATATAATTTTTCTCTAAATATATGGCGGTATTATGGCCAGTGCCATAGAGCACTGAGTGAGATGAACCACGAAGATGTGTCTGTTTGTTTTGAGAACATGACCCTCCTCAGTGACACTGTGGCCCTGGCAGAGTGTGACATTCTCGGTGTTAGGGTATCACCCAGAGCAGGACTAGACACAGTCCCTGCCCCTGAAGTCCAACTTTCCACATCTATACATACATAGCACCATAGTATTAAAGACACAGGGCATACCAAAGGGTTAGCTTTGTATTTGATTTTTCTGTCTGCTTTAATTCCCTAATTGAAGGAAAGAAAGGAAGGAAAGAGGATGGGAGGGAGGGAGAGGAAGAGGGAGGGAGAGAAAGAAAAGGAGGGAGGCAGTGAAGGAGGGAGGGAGAGAAGGAGGGAGGGAAATCTGAAAGCAATGGCAGTGGTTCCCAGAAAGAAGGGCAATGGCTGGTGGGAGATTTATGGGAAGTGAGAGCCCTGATCCTGCCCAGCTTGTCCGGGAATTCTTCCTGCTGGAGGGTGATTTGTTAACTGCTGCCTGGTCAGCCTTTCCAGGGAGTCAGTTTTGGACTCTAATCCTCACATTTAGAATCAAAAAGCCAAGCCAACATTGTTTTCCAGGAATAAGGGTTTTATAGAACAAGGCTGCTTCGTGCATTGTGTGGTAATTGGTAAATATTCCACTTCATATTTAAGAATAGAGTCAAGACAGAGAGAAAGTGGTAATATTACCAGAGCTTGAAAAGCACTAACTTGAAAAACAAGTCCTTTCTCTCCAACAGAGGCATGGCCCCCTGTGACAGTGGGCATGTGTGGTCAAGCACTGCACCCTCTGAACTCCTGAAGTCAGGACAGCCTTCCACTGATGATCAGAGTAAATGTCATGATGCCAATGGTTCTGTTTAGTGACCTACCTTTAAGTTAGGAAACAGTAGTAGCAACAATAAAATAGCATGGATTGAACTCCTCCCACACCAGCCACTGCCCTCAACAGTGATTTCACAGGTGACACCACATTTAGTCCTCCCAATACCCCAGAAAGTTAGCTATTACAGTTATGTTCATTCTAAAGATGAAACTATGTCTCAAAAACTTTAAGTAACTTATTCAAAGTTAGTTAGATAACGAAGGTGGCGCCGGGGTTTGAGCCCAAGTGGTCTGACACAGAGCCCCATTCCTTACGATCATTAGTATTTCCTCACATTCTTATAGCTGTTTTTCTTGCTACATGGGAAATGGATAAAACATCTTTTCAGTCATTCTGCATTTTAAGGTCAGATCAATATAAATGTATATCCCAATGTGTGACCTTAGAAAAGGCACTGAATTTTTTAGAGTTTTTTTTTATTTGTCAAATGGAGATAACACCAATTTTCAAGATTACTGTGAAAGCGAGAGGTCTAACCACTCAGTACATGGAAAGCACGATGTGAGGCAGACTGCCAAGGTGAGAAAGGGAGAACCTCAGATCAACAGAAGCACAGGGCCTGGCACTCAGGACAGATTCTCCAGGGCAAGGGGTGACTGGGAGTAGATCATCTTCAGAAAAACTGAAGGAAGTACTTTCCCTTTAGGCAACTCAGTCAAAAAAGGAAACCTTAAGTATGCTTACAAAATAAGAAGAGATTTCAGCTAATAATGTAAAAAATAAAAATCACAACAAACAAAAACAAAAGAAAATCAGTAGAGCCTGTATAAAGAAAAGAAAGCAAAACCCAGACTATTACTAAAGACTATGCTCTGAGCCATACCAAGCTAAATTAATTCCCACAGTAAAGGAGGAGTGGAAGCTTACAGCAGAACCTGCCTGTCATATGTAATGCAATATCCATAAAGGTAGTTTAAACCCCACGTGAAGCAGACAGTCCTCATCCTATGTTGTGAAGGAGTCATTTCTGTGGCCCTCTTGTTGTCTCAATGAAGCTCTAGGTTAAAGAATCACTCTAGCAGAACCCTGGACCGAGTGGACACCCACAGGCTTTTGCCGTCAATAATCTGGAGTGCAGAGTGGGAAACGAGAAGATAACAGACCTTAGAGGTGAGCACGGTGACCACGTCTCCAGCCTTCTTGTGCTCTGCTGTCTTTAAGGAATGCAGTTTCCCAGTCCAGTCGAGTTTCACAGCCCTTCCACTGGAAACACGAAATATCTATGATGAAAAGAGTGGGGACAATTAGGACGGGAGAGTGAGTGTAAAGGATGGCACACATAGCAAAAGCACAATGTAAATAGCCCGAGGGGGGACCTGCTGTAATCTGAGCAGAAATCTCCATGAGCATTTTGCTACCGTCAGTCAGTAGGATTCTCCCATTCTGTAGGTCCCTGTCTTCACAGTGCACTGTATGAAAAGGGATAATTCATGAAAATAAGACCTATTCTTTGCTAGTTTGCTTTGTGTACATAAAGCGTGCAGGTGAGAGGTTAAATTTAAAACATTCAACCAATTAAACTTGTAGTTGTGAGATTTACTTAATTGCAGTCTACTCAAACAAAATTAAAATTCATGTAATATTTTTGGAAGGAAAATTACTGCACTCCCAGCCATTTTGGAGAGACCCTTCAAAAAGTTATTCCTCAAATGTTACTATATCTTTCAGAAATTGGCATTGAAGACTGCTATTAGAGTGAAAAAAAACAAAAACAGAAAACAAAAACATGACTGACTGTATTCATCATTCTCTACTGGGCCATGGTGTTTTAATCTGCTATTATGACTTTAATACCCAAAGACATTCAATGAATACTTGATAAATAATTGGAGGAATTTTCTAAGATGTTTAAAATGACATTTCATGATAATTATGACGAAGGATTTAAGATCAACCAAACAGACCTAATTCACTATCTGTGTCTTTGAGCAAGTTCTTAAACCTCCCTAAGCCTCATATTTTTCATTTTAAAAATGATAATATATATTTACCTCTTCCATTGGGTGGTCATTTAGATTAATGAGATAATCCATATGAAACTTTTGGGCCAGAACCATGCTCAGAATTAGTGCTAAAAATGTTAATTACTAGCACGTTATGCCTCATCTTAGGCAAATAATGTACACAATTCTTTAATCTGCCTCTTTGGCCATACAAGTCATATATTAAGACTTTTTTGGTAGTATCAAGCATTTTGTCACTGCAAAGTGACACATTTTTTTTGTGGAAACTTGCAAGACTTGTCAACAAACAGATGAATAAAAATATTTCAGAATTTGACTTGTTCATGGCTTCATGGTAGATTATGGGTAGCTGGAGAGGAAGTGGATTCAACAGCAGAGGGCAGAGTACAGAGACTTGGAGGATGAGAAGAATTCACTCCTAAGAAAAAAAAGAAAGGCCCCATTTTCTGACGCTGAGCCTCAGACCATTTCTGACAGGCACCGTTGAAAAGGTACACATTTCAGAGCCAGGTCATTCAGTTACATGGAAAGATAAGGATACCCCTCTACCCCCTACTTTTTTTTTAAGAAAGAAGATGGAAAGAAGAGAAAAAAGCAATATATATATATATATTTTTTTTTTTCACTATACACAGAATAGAGCAGATCAAGGTAGGGCTGTGGGGGGCAGTGTGGTATAGTGGACAGAACATGAGCTTTCATAAGAGGATGGATCTAAATTTTGTTTTCTAGCTCAGTTGTTTGCCACCTAGGCTAAGTACGCTACTTAACAATTTATGCCTCTCTTGCTTCATCTCTGTAATGGCAATAAAAATTGTAATTATGTCATAGGGTTGCTGTGGGGATATAATAAAACAACATCCATTTTCTGGTTTAGAAAACATAGTTGGAAAATACTTCTTGCACACTCTGCAGGTGAGGAAAGTACAAAAATGCTTGCAGAAGCATTGTTTCTTGCATCTGCTTACTCATTTCCTCCATAAACATTCCTGGTAATAGTGGGAGAGTCCATTTAGCGAAGCTGGAACTACATTTCCCAGAATCCACCTTTTCTTCATGTGATCAGTTCAAGCCCAGACATGGGCGGCAGTAGTGAAGCCCCAGCTTCTGCTGCTGAGCAGGTTGGTTCTGGGAAAGCCACTGTTGAAGCTCCTGCCTGTTGGCTTCCTGGCTGGATGGTAGCAACAGCCAGACCCTCAACTCCCCCAGATCCTACTGCATCTCCTGCTCTGGGTTCTCCAACTCCTGGTCCAGGTGTGTGTTTAGCTCCATGACAAAGGGGCACCAGCTTCTTGTAAAGAAAACCCTCATCATCAAAGTTGGAAACCCATCATCAAAGGTGATAAGAAACCCATCAGGGTTCTGGTTTTTCTTTTCCTCTGCTCCACAACCACCTTCTCTTCCCAACCACCCACCTGTGCATATCAGGTTCCAGCTCTAGACTCAGAAATGAAACATCACAAACTGTTTCTCCTACTTCCATGATAGTATGAGGTCAAGTCCTTGTGATAAGTTCATATATCAGAATAGAACCATATATACATTCTGGTGGTTCTACTCTGATAAGAGCCTTAACTGGTAGAATGGGATCTCTATATGCCAGGAACTATGTTCTGAGCTGAAAAAACAGATGAATAAGGTATAGTCCCTACATTCACAAAAGTTCAGTTCTACAGTTCTTAAGAGAAGTCAGCCATCACTCATCACAAAAGAAATTATAAAGTTTCTAATTTACCTAATCTAGACACTTCATATAAATGGAATCATAATATGTGACCTATTGTATCTTTTTTTCCACTTCGCATGTTTTCTAGGTTTATCCATGATGCAGGACATATCAGTACTTCACTCTTTTCTATGTTAAATAATATTTAAATTGTATTGATATATCACATTTTGTTTATTCATTCATCTGTTGTTTTTTAAAAATATTTTTATTGATTTCAGAGAGGAAGGGAGAGGGAGAGGGAGTGGGATAGAGTACTGGAAACATTGATGAGAGAGAAACATCGATCAGCTGCCTCCTGCATACTCCCTACTGGGGATGTGCCTGCAACCAAGCACTCCCTTCTGGGGATCAAGCCCACAACCTGGGCATGAGCCCTTGACCAGAATCCAACCTGGGACTTTTCAGTCCACAGGTCGATGCTCTATCCACTAAGCCAAATCAGCTAGGGCTATTCATTCATCTGTCGATGGACATTTGAGTTGTTTCCACTTTTTGAAACTACATAGTTACAACTAGATAGTGATAACTGCACATTGTGAACATACTAAACGACAATTATTTAAAATAGTTAATTTTATAATATATAATTTCACTTCAGTAAATTTTTTTAAAGTTTATAAAGTTCTTTTCTTTAGTTAAAAAAAATTAACATTGCCTATAATTGTTGAGAATGAAACTGAAGAGACTCCACTGGAGTTTATGGGTACCAAACTGGTTTAAAAAAGTGTACTCATTAAACTAGATATTTTCAGTGATAAGATCGGATGCTTTCTACATTTGACTACAATCTCCTTCGTATATTATTCTTTGCTATTTTTCTACAAGCCTGCCATTGATTGGCTTCTCGACATGCACATAAAATCAATTAACAGTCAGTCTCTGAGAATAATTCTCTTAATAGGTTACTGCTTTCCCCATTTAGCCAACAGAGAAACATTTCTTTCCACACTGGCCCATACTTATTTGGAAAGGCATTTGGTAACACTTATGAGCCTGCACATGCCAGTAATTAGATATCAATAGAATTTCTATGTTCAATCCTTTGTATACAAGGAACATATAGCCAAAATTTCCAGTCTCCTCACAATTTTCTGAACTGAGTAATTTTTATCTTTTTATTATGGGTTTACTTTAGAGACATCGGGTAAAAGCCCACCACGTCTGCCTCCAAACTTCCCCTAATGTGTGGACAATATGAATATATGTCGAGACTGAGAATATGCTAGGCCAGTTCTCTTTTCCTTATATTTCCGTAGTTACAATGAAGAACCATTAGTTATTTAACTCTTCTTTTAAGTGTAACGTTTCCTCCAACTGCTAATTTAGCTTTCTTTTTTGTTGTTTTACTTCTTTCTGACTCCACAGATCTAATCTGAGCATCATTGCCTAATAGAAATTCCTGACCCCATCTTCTTCCACAGCCCTTCTCCTGCACTAAACTCCAGCCACACTGACTTCCCTTTAGCTTCTGGGACAGATAAAACTCATGTCCATCTCAGGACCTTTACACTTATTGCTCCTTCTGCTTGAATATTCATTATTTTTCAACAATATTATGTGGCTGCCCTTTCTTCATCATCTGAGTTTCAAATCATTCTGTGCCTTTTCACAATGGGCTTCCCTAGCTTTAGCATTACCCTGTTTATTTTTTATTTTCTGTATCCCCTCCCTAGATCATATATGATCCATAACATAGGGTAGTGATGGCGAACCTATGACACACGAACTCATCTTTTGGGTTGATTTTTCTTTGTTAAATGGCATTTAAATATATAAAATAAATATCAAAAATATAAGTCTTTGTTTTACTATGGTTGCAAATATCAAAAAATTTCTATATGTGACACGGCACCAGAGTTAAGTTAGGGTTTTTCAAAATGCTGACACGCCGAGCTCAAAAGGTTCACCATCACTGGCCTAGAGACAGTAGATGCACCATTAATATCTTGGTTGACTGACTACGAAACTAGCAAGGACTAATCATGTGATTCATGGTGACACCATTCCTTGTAACAGTGGATGCTGGAAAGTATCAGGTAAGTAAGTATGTATATATGTAAGTATATATGTAGTATTTTGCTTAGATTTTTTTGGGGGGGGAGAGAGGAGTAAGTTATAAGTTCAGTTTCAATATATTGATTTTGAAGTAATATCAGATAGACAATTTTATATATTTGATTGGACTTAAGAATCAAGTGGCCTAGAGATCAATTCAGGAGACATCTGCTTCTCGGTGGTAATTAAAGGTAGACATGGATAAGATCATCCAGGAATATCAAGAAGAATAAGAAGAGAGGAATGAAAGTCAGAATGGATAACACTGGAAGGGGCTGGAACAGAGCGGTCAGTGCGGGAGGAAAGTAACATGCAAGTGTGGCCCCTGTAGAAGGACGTTGCTATGGGGTGAATGTTAGTGTCTTCCATGTGCTGAAGTCCCACTCCCCAATGTGATGGCATTTGGAGGTGGGGAAATAATTAGGTAATTACCTCCTTTGTGAGTAATTAGGTTTAAATGCAGTCATGAGGG